AAAAAAAAAAAAAAAAAAAAAACCCTGCCTTATCTGCTGGCTATTATTGAAAACGCGAGGTGCAGCCCGGGCTGGGCGGTGCAGGGGCGCCGAGCCGCCTGCCAGGAGAGGGGGAGTGCGCGCTAAGGGGACCCTGGCCGCGCTCCCGGAGCCCCCGCCACCCGNNNNGGAGCCCCCGCCACCCGAGCGCCCGCCGAGCCGAGCCTGCCATGCCCTCCGCCGCCGCCTGGTCTCGGGGCTGCACCGCGTCCTGGGCGCTAGGGAAGATTAATATGTAAGAAATGTGCAGCTAGGATCCAGCCGCCCTCCGCCGCCTGCCTGGCAAACTATGTCTCACTTCTGACTTTGCTCTCTCGCCGCCGGAACGCTGATCTGTCAAGCTGGCGGGCTCCTTTGAAAGCAACTTTCCCAGGAGCATGATGTGGCAATGCCACCTCTCAGCCCAGGACTACCGCTATTACCCCGTGGACGGCTACTCCCTGCTCAAACGCTTCCCTCTTCATCCCCTTACAGGACCCAGATGCCCCGTCCAAACAGTGGGACAATGGTTGGAGAGCATTGGGCTCCCTCAGTACGAGAACCACCTGATGGCTAACGGCTTTGACAATGTGCAGTTCATGGTAAGACGCGCTCTGTGTCCGCGGGGCTGCCTTTTGTCTGTCTTTGCTTCTTCTGTGTCTGACACGGCTCAGGGGCAGCCTGATTTGTACCCAAAGCGGTCAGTTTTATATGTGTAGCCGCATCGGGAAATCGGATGCCCTCCCGACTGAACTTAACCGGGGCCGTAGAGACGCTTGCTGAGAAATGAGGTCTGTAGGCATCCATAGGCGCTGGACGAGATGAGTGAACCGTGGAGGGGACTCTTTATAGGCAGGGAGAGGAGATTAACGTTTCTGTTCTCCCTGTCATTCTTTGTGTGGTTTTTATACATTTGCAATCTCAGGATACCCAGGGAGACGATAGCCCTCTCCCGTTGACTCTAGATTCCTAAAAACGTGTGATTTTATCTGAGCATCAGCAGTCAGTGATTAATTGACAGTTTATTGTGTTTACGGTGTGATCATTTCTTGCCTGATCACCATCCCATGAGCAGTTCAAATTGTGTGGACAACCGTTTCGGTTCCCTAGCAAACTGCTTCGGATGGTCAGTTATGGAGAGCAGTCGCTCACTTACACGTGCTGACTGAGGAGCATGGAAGCACTGGTTGTTACTTTAGGTAGAAAACAAACACTTCCGTGGGTTAGCTGTCAATATTCAGAAAGAGAGGCTAATGGACGGGGTGCATTCGTGTACCTCTGAGTGCTGGTCTGCGTGCAGCCTAAACCCGGTGTGTGCAAACTTCTCAGTGTGGCGGATACAGGTAAGGAAGGGTGGGGAGAGGCGCAGACCCGCAGCACAGCTTTCTAATCATTTCCATGCCTCCCCCGGTGCTCATCACTCGCCCTTGTTAAGCGACGTCACCATCCCCATTACCTTTCCTTGCTTTTAAGGTCCCATCGCACACATATTGCCCATCCCTCAATTTAGAGAGAGCTTTGTAATATAGGCAGGTAGCACTGAAAGGCAGAAATAATTAATAGCTATTTCTAAATGAAATGCTGGGGCCAGCACCTGAAGCTTATTAATCCCAGAATTGATAACAAAACCCCAAAAGCTAGTCAAGTCTTTTTATCTCCATGGGAGATTATTTTCTTCCAAGTCTGACTTAACTATTACAGATTTGAAGATTACTCAGATTGTTGAACTTCTGCCTCTGCTCCCAAAATGTGTAAGCCCCAGGAGCTTTTGAAGACATATCAAGACATATGAGCTCGAAGTAACTGTGTACATAGAATTTAGGAACCTATCTTTTTTGCAATGAGATACGCAGCTACTGTTATTTTTATCATGTTTAAGAATAACCATCACTTATTAGACAAGGAGATACTGTGGGTATTGAAACAGGAAAAAAAGTAAAATTTCTCCAATTGCCGTGAGAGTCTTAGGACACTGAGCAGATTTAGGATAGATTTAGGAGACTACAGAGGTGACACCAAGATTTAGAGGAACTGTCCAACAGAATGAAAGTCTTCGGGTCTTTACTTCTGTTGACTGCACATTTTGATAAGTTTTCTTTCTCCCCAACTCTACTCGAGATAAGACCTTCTCTTTCCCACTCCACAAACCCTCGTTGAAATTTATTCTGGTCCCATGAGAAGTTAGGTGGGTTTTCAGATTCTCTGGAATATTTGGCTGCTTTGAAAGATTTTAATTCAGCATGATTTTCCTCTGAATGTTAAACACTTCTTGGCAAACATAATCCCTTTTTGAAAGCCTGGAACTGAAAGGTTAATCAAACAGGTTTCAAACAAGCATTTGGAGATCGTTAGAAACATTCATGAATGAAATATGTATGAGCACTCCAAAATGGACCCGGGAGGCAAAAACCCTGTCCCTACGTGACAAATCCAAGGTCCCGTCTTCTCCATAGATCATTGTCTTTGTTTTTTCAGTTCCAAGTATTCCGAGTATTGTGGATAATTTTCCAGGAATTAAGAAAACATGGTGAATTCGGATCAGTCAGCCAAACACTTTCTTCATGGGACAGAATCCATTTAAAAAAACTACTTTGAATGATCATTTAGAGGAATTAGTTAATTATGAAAATGAAGTTAATCATAAAATGGTGTCATCGGTTATTGCTTTATATGCTGCTGTCTACCATTTATTTGCTACCACTATCATTAAAATCAGTTTTGCCTTTATAAAAATTATTTCTTGATCTCCATAATCTAATTTATTTCATTACGAACTTAAAGCGCACGGATATGATCAGCCCACTTTAAAAAACAGATTTCATTAATGTGGTGGAAATCTGTTAGACCTGCTCAGTCTCCACTCAGCATCATATCCTAGCTTTTGTTTTTCTTGAGGCACATTCTGACCTGCATTTATTCATCCTGTTGCCTAAGCAACAAGCACCACACTCCTATTAACTATGATGTAGTGCAGGTCTTATTAGCTTTTGAGAACAAGACAGTAGAGACATCAAAAGGATATAATTAATGTTAGTTAAAACATCATAGTAGTACATCCATGCATAGCTATCCTTTACTTGGGAAACATTCTCAGGAGTTGGTTTTTCATTTAACCGGTACTCCAATAATGAACGGGAGCTTTAAAGGGTCCGTATAAGTCACTTTCGAAGTGTTTATTGAAATCTTTAACAAAATTGTTTTGCTCATTCGGTTCTACATACTCTCACACATAAACACAATATGTGGGTGATGTATCTACACTGCTGTGATTAACTTTACTAAAGATTTCTTACATCAATTCCTAGACATGGTTAGAAAAGAAGGACCCCCATTTATTATGTGGTGTGTGTGTTTTTCATTGATTTCAGAGAGAGAGGAAGGGAGAGGGAGAGAGAGAGAGAGAGAAACATCAATAATGAGAGAGGGTCACCGATCGGCTGCCTCCTGCACACCCCCTCCTGGGGATCAAGCCCTCAACCCAGGCGGTGGCCTGACTGATAATCGAACCATGATCTCCGGGTTCATGGGTAGATGCTCAACCATTGAGCCATGCCAGCTGGGCAAGGACCCCCATTTATTTTTAAATTTCTGTCAATCATTGCTTCTCCTTTGGTCTCTAATACTTATCCCTGATTTTATTGATATGTGGATCTGAAAGTCAAAATTCCAAACTTTTTCTTTATGGATCTGGTTCTGGTCTGCAGAATAGTTATGCACACAGCTTGAACCCTTCTGTGTCCTTAAATATATAAGATAAATGGAAACTGATACAATCAATGAATAGCTATAGAAGTACATCAGGTCATGTAGGACTTTGGGGAAGTCAGAGCTACGCTGCAATCCTGAGCCCCTGGAGCACAGAATCCTTTGCTGAAAGCCACACAGTCCCCCGCCCACCTGTTCATCCCCTTTGAGCCATACATCAGCTCCCCCCTAGTTAGCCTGTCTGCCTGCTACGCACTGGCCCCTGGGAGTGCAGCCGGGGCCCTATGCCATCCACCTGTTTTGCTCAAGTTTGCAACCATAGAGGGTATCTAAGTTTCAAAGTTACTGTTTATTTCACCAAGGAGTTTAGGTGTGAAATGATTACCCTACAACATGCACATACGTATTTACTTCCTTATCATATATGTTTCTATCATCATATCTTTTTTTCCAAGTCTGATGACTGCTTCCTTCATTTTAAGTCTCAAACTCTCGATTGTCATCCTGATGACAGCTCATTTGTACTCGCCAGCCTCCCCTCTCCAGACAGCTGTTTCCCTTCCTTCCCCTTCTCATCCTCAAAGGTCTAACTCAATTCCTGCCTTGTTTCTGTAACTTTCCTTAACGACTCCTGTCCTCAGCGGCCTCTCTCGTCTCTGAACTCATGCAGTGGTTGTATTTGGTATGAAAAATTAGCTTTGGCATGCCATCATTCACCTCGGGAATTAGGAGTTATGTGTTCGCCTGTGTACATCTTGTCTCCTCAGCTAGACAGGAAGCTTCAAGTCCAAGTTCTGTGCATTCACTTTTCTTTGTTATTTTTTTTTCCTGAAAGATTTGTCACTGCTATTTATTTTTTCCTTCTATTATTGTGTGTTGGTTTCAGGAGTACAGCTTAGTGGTTAGACAATCATATACTTTACGTAGTGTTGCCCTCGATATTTCCAGTACCCCAGCTGGCACCATACGTAGTTATTGCCACATTATTGACTGTAATTCCTATGCTTTACTTACATGCCATCCCCGAGACTATTTTGTAGCTACCGTTTCTTAATCCCTTCACCTCTTTCACCCAGTTTCCTTGCCTCTCTCACAACCCCTAGCATAATGCTGTGCACGTAAAGATCACCCCTAAGCACTGGATGCCCAGCGGATTGTTGTAGGTGGACCTCCAGCCTCATTTTTAACCTGGGGGCCTTGCTTTGCCACTGGGAACACGGAGCACTGGCACCCTTCATTCATTCCTGCAACAAATACTCCCTGAACATTTGCTACATGCTAGGGACAGGGTTACTGACTAGTGTTGCTTTTCCAGCAACAAATTGCAGTGAGCAATGACGAGCTGAGATCTGTGGTAGCGTGTGGAAAATAAAGATACGGATAACACCAGAACACTGGCCGAGGTACAGTCATTCCGTAAACCAGAGACTCGATTAAGAAGTTCACGTTATTTGAGGGAGGACCCACTCAGAGCCTCACGGGGTAACTGGCTGACAGCTACAGTTGTCACCTCACCTCGAAAGGGGGAAAGCCCTGGCCAGGCGGTGCAGCTGGTTGGAGTGCCGTCCCGTACCCCAAAAGGTCGCGGGTTTGATTCCCGGTCAGGGCTCACACCGAGGTTGCAGGTTTGATCCCCAGTCGGGGCTCATAAGGGAAGCAGCCGGTTGATGTTTCTCCCTCCCACTGATGTTTCTCTCTCACTCCACCTTCCTCCTCCTCTCTCTAAAATCAATAAACATATCCTTGGGTAAGGATTTAAAAATGGGGTGGGGTGGGGAGGATGACATACCAAATTATCTGTTTTTAGCACCTACTCTGTCTCTACCCATTGCCCTCTAGGTTGACTAGGAACGCTTCACCATTATTAAAATGTTCAAATGCAGCCCTTACGGAGTAA